ACTCCATAAAAACACTTCGTACAATCTTACTCTCAACGATGCTAATAAATGGACTATGGTCGAAGCAAACATCGAGTGGCTACTGAATATCGTCATTACCCCACCGTATGTGATGACGGGTAAGGCACATAATTTAACTAAGATAATAATAGTTGGATTATACTCGCAGCTTATATCCCATCAAAACGAAAAAGTGTGTTAGTCTCTCCCCTGCCAGAAAACCCAGGTCATAGGTTATTTAGTCGTCCGGCTGTAAAAAATGTTAGTTTAAATTTGGTTACTGAATTCAATGATATTAAACAGAACTTGAGTGCAATACCTAATATTTCTACGCTTATTATTGAAGTCTTGTTCGGAGATGCACCGGAAAATGCCTTCGAAATATTACCAGGTCTATCAATTAAATGGCTCAAGAAACATGAGCGTCAACGTTGCAGTATTATTCATATTGGAGCATCACCAGTTGCAACCCTTGAGGGGGTCCAAATTATTAAAAGTGACAGCATTTCTCTTACTAAGATATTCTTGCCGTATAATATACATTTGATAAGGTTGATGTATTCTCTCAAAACATTTAAGCAAGACCAATTAAAGACTATTATATGACCGTAATATACACTATGGGTTTATATCCGGCGCTCGATGAGGCATTTGAAAAGATGGATACTGTTGATGGATTTCGATTACATCAAATAAGCGACATAAAACATCGAATAGAGAAGGAGAGGGAGTTGAGACTTGGATTGTATAAAAAGTATCGCAGAGCCGTGAATGCTCTCGACGGAGTTGACACTGCGCTTGTAACAGCTAGCATGGGACTCGGTGTAGCCGGTGTCGGTTTATTAAGTTGCAAAAGAAAGCATTAAAACACGATAATATTCGGATACTCGCCGAAGCAAAGTTGAACAGCATTGAGGATCATATTTCAACGGCAATGGCTGATTGTAAGATATCCGAGGAGGAGTTTCGTTTAGTGTTGTCGGAACTCACCAAATACAACGCAATGAAGCAGGAAATTCGATCCAATTCTCGTAAGACCAGTGGTATCAGCGAAGACGAGAGAAAAAAGTTCATAGAACAGGGGAGACAACAAGCGCGTCAATTATTCCGTGCCAAAACCAAAGAACTTGTTGGAGATTAAAAATAGATTGCTTCCTATCATTAGATCGCATCGCATAAAAAATCATACATTCATTTAGACGAATGCTTACATAAGTATATAAAAATGGAGAATTACAAACCAACAAAGTAAGAACTCGAAAAAGCTATCGAAACATTTATGCTCAGAGACAAAATTATCAAATGGAGAGAATTACCAAAAGGTATATATTATATTTGTGATGTCAAACCAACCAAATACGGTCATCAATTGTTTCTTTCCAATTACCAAGAAGAGTATATAGTCTGGTCTCCTAGTAAAATGAATGAAGAACTTAGTAAAAATGTTGAATATCACTTCGTTAAAAATAATGGTATACGTATAAGTAAAAATAATAGAGAATATTTTCATTACAATTTAGTTTAGTCTCATCATCGTTTTTATACTAATGACATCATTTATTGGCTCCAGGTAGTGGTGAGCTAGAGTCATTTTAACTTAGTCTCATGACTATCGTTAAATCGCATCATCATTTACACATAAAAAATTCCCCCTGTAGTGGTGGTATAGGTATATAAATCTGGCTCCAGTGGAGTTGCGGCAGAATCACCATTACCTATACTACTACTGACTATGACAACAGTGACCAATTTCAAAACATGGTCTCTGTAGTGTGACGAAATTTTTCAAGATCAGGCACAAGTATTGACGGTAAATCATAATATTAACCATGAGAAGAGACTATATATTATTCAAACACAATACAAACTTATTTGCAAGTGCTGAAAACAAAGTAATCTGGTCACTTTATAGTAATTAAGCGGCAAACAGAAAGCATATTTGTGGTAGCTGGACAGTATAGATATAGTCACTGTATCCAAGGATAAACTTGCTGAATGTTTGTTTGAATATTCTTGGACTTTTTAAGTCTTTGTAAGAATATGGAAAAATAAGATTAAAACCATGACAATATGTAACATTTTATAAAAAAATGTGATACTGACGGTACAGTGACGTCTCCCACTCAGCTACATGGTTGGGATTTTTCAACATTATTATAAACTATTTTCTGTAGATTGTATGGTTCAAATAATCCTTCAATCTTGATACAAGAGAGTTTTAGAATCACATCTATAATCGCTAGCAAGTTACAGTAACCAAACTGTCATTGGCAATGTATTTTGGTAAATAATGTCCGCCAATATTCTCAGGACTTCTGTATATCAGTCACCCTCTAGTGTAAACAGTGAGGAGGCTGATACTGATGTTAGAAAGTACATGTAACCCTCTCAGAGCAGTATAAAAACAAAATACAGTAAAACAGTGTATATATCAAAGCCGACAAAAATGACTCTGGGAATACATACTGTGGCGTGACATGAATCAGGTGATTGTTTAATTATGCACATATCTTGAGTCGCCTACTAAGTCAGTAGCCAATCAACGGAGAGTAGATCAAAACAAAGTTTATAGGACCTGTCAATCAAGGCAAGAGGCTAACAGAACTGCACCAGTCAGACTGTAACGAACCAGAACAGACATGTCCGGGACAAGGTGGCTGTTTCAAATGACATGGTCAGTTGAATCAGTTACCACCAGATTCAAACATTAGTTCCCTGAGAACGGGAAGACACAGTTGGAAAAATGCTAGTTAGAAATGAAACCCAAAGCGATGAAAGTTGTGGAACCGAGCGAGCGGGATAAAAAGGGCGAGTGAGTTTGCATGTTTGCTGTTTCATTTTGGACAATGAATATGCATGAATGACAATAAATGTCCTGTGCATGACGATACACATGAGCAGAAAGGGAATTCCCTGGATTCCTCGACATTCCGCAGTAATAAAAGAAGGCCTCCTCGGTGGGCGTGGCTTAATGTTTTACATTCATTGGGAAATGATTGCAATAACACATGACCAATTCAGCAAATCAAAACACAGGAATTTCAATACACACAATGAAAATTTAACTATAAAGACATAAAACCAACCATGACGTCAAATAGAATTGTCATTTGTCCAGTGAATCATTACATTTGATGATGTGGCTAGTGCTCCATGAATAATGGTGCAACATAAGTCAAATTACACTTGCACAATGAGGAGAATGTTGGAATCTAAGGACTAATTTTAGGTTCGATAGGGCCATCCATTTCGCTATTACTTCTTTTTTTTAATAAGTACGATTTTGTCATTTGTTATGGGTTTTTTTTTATACCTAAACGTATACAGTTTCAATATCAATATTTGTGTTGGAATAGTTTGGTTCCTCGTTAACAAAACACTACGAAAATATATCGTTCTTACCCACAGCACCAAGTAATCTGAGTTACAATAAACTATTGCCAAGCATTGCAGAGTTATTCCCCCCCTTTTCTTTATACATGTGTAATCTCTCTGTCACCTTTAGACGTCATAGTGGAAAAACAGTTTTTATCATTTATGGCAGGCAATTTTTTGCCTTGACTGTATGTCGTTATACATATTCATATAAGGGTAGGTCGGGTAGCCTAGTGGCTAAAGCGTTTGTTCATCACACCACAGACTTGTTATATAGGTCCGTGATCACACCGAAGACCCGGGTTCGATTCCCGACATGGGCATAATGTGTGAAGCCCAATGTGTGGTGTCCCCTGCTGTGATATTGCTGGAATATTGTTTAAAGCAGCGTAAAACCATACTCACTCACTCAGATATTCATATAACTCCATTTGATATATATCTATGTCATTCAGATGTAAGGCAGTAGCTGTTTCCGCTCACAGTTTCTGTCAAGCAGCTTACTAAAAACAATCATCGCACAGTACTTTTAGCAGTGTACACTAAAAAGCGGAGAAATTTCCTGTTTTTCGATGCAGCGTTTTTCGTTCAAACTGGTTTAATATTTGCAGTTAAATTTACACCATCAGATAGGAAATTTAATAATCTACATCTGCGTAATTCTATCGCCGGAGATAGATCCAGTGCCGTGTTTCTTGCACAACCTTCACTTCAGACCAGCCGAATAGAAGGGAGAGGATGGTCTTTAAGTACGGGTTAATAATGTATGAGTAATGTTTCGCTAAAAACATTGACAATGTTAGAGAAACCCCACAAAAAAAATTTTGGGAAAGATTTGACACAATGTATTCAAAACCAAAACAAAGCAAAACATATAATGCTGCATATATTGCATATGATCAGCGATTAAAACTTTTTAACATCAGAAACCAGCTATGTTTAGGATATTAAATTTCACAATTTGCAAGAAAATGACACAAGAGAATTTACCCTTTTGATGCAACATTACACGTTACTAGGTATATATTGGTCATAGTACGTTGTATTAAGAAACCAATTTTTTACCTTTGCCTTCAGAAGAGGTGTTAATAATTAAAAACATTTAATAAAATCATATATACAATAATGCACCCGATTATCCAGACTTCAAAATAGATATTGATGAGAGGGCCAGATTAAGGTGTTAAGTTGAAGAATGTCCTAATTTAAGCAGAGATGTCTGGATAATGATGCACTGGATTAAAAACTGAAATTAATTCATTTGTGAACATATATTTCAGGGGAAGCTGTTTTCCCGGAATAATATGTCTCTTGAGGACATGTACTCTGGGAACATTAGAAGCCCACATTTAAGCGCTGTTTCCCAGAGTCCCGCTGTCCCTTGTGGGCTTTACGTAAGCCCGTTGCATCAAGGGCAGGAGAGTCACACAAATTTATCCGCAGTCCCTCCTTGATCTCGAGCGCAATGTGGGAAAGGCCAAAATTATTATTTTCCCAAACAGGGACATCCCAATGGTAAAAAACCAAGAGATTTATTTTAGTGAAGTATTTTCTAATAAATTGCATCATGAATATTTTTTATGGTAAATTGTCAAGATTGTTTCATTTCATTTTGACAGAATGAGATGGACCAACAAGAACCAGCTTTATTGCAAGAGCCACCGAGCAACCAGGCTTTACTGCAACAGCCACCAAGCAACCAGGCTTTACTGCGACAGCCACCAAGCAACCAGGCTTTACTGCGACAGCCACCAAGCAACCAGGCTTTACTGCAACAGCCACCAAGCAACCAAGCTTTACTGCGACAGCCACCAAGCAACCAGGCTTTACAGCCACCAAGCAACCAGGCTTTACTGCAACAGCCACCAAGCAACCAAGCTTTACTGCAACAGCCACCAAGCAACCAGGCTTTACTGCGACAGCCACGAGTGACCAGGCTCTACTGCGACAGCCACCGAGCAACCAGGCTTTACTGCCAAAGCCACCAAGCAACCAGGCTTTACTGCGACAGCCACGAGTGACCAGGCTCTACTGCGACAGCCACCGAGCAGCCAGACTTTACTGCGACAGCCACCGAGCAACCAGACTTTACTGCAAGAGCCACCGAGCAACCAGACTTTACTGCGACAGCCACCGAGCAGCCAGACTTTACTGCAACAGCCACCGAGCAGCCTGACTTTACTGCAACAGCCACCGAGCAACCTGACTTTACTGCAACAGCCACCGAGCAACCAGGTTTTACTGCAACAGCCACCGAGCAGCCTGACTTTACTGCAACAGCCACCGAGCAACCAGGTTTTACTGCAACAGCCACCGAGCAGCCAGACTTTACTGCAACAGCCACCGAGCAACCAGACTTTACTGCAACAGCCACCGAGCAGCCTGACTTTACTGCAACAGCCACCGAGCAACCTGACTTTACTGCAACAGCCACCGAGCAGCCAGACTTTACTGCAACAGCCACCAAGCAGCCTGGCTTTATTGCAAGAGCCACCGAGCCACCTGACTTTACTGCAACAGCCACCAAGCAACCTGACTTTACTGCAACAGCCACCGAGCAACCTGACTTTACTGCAACAGCCACCGAGCAGCCTGACTTTACTGCAACAGCCACCAAGCAGCCTGGCTTTACTGCAACAGCCACCGAGCGACCTGGCTTTACTGCAACAGCCACCGAGCAACCAGGCTTTACTGCAAGAGCCACCGAGCGACCAGGCTTTACTGCAACAGCATCCGAGCAACCAGGTTTTACTGCAACAGCCATCGAGCAACCAGGCTTTACTGCAATAGCCACTGAGCAACCAGGCTTTACTGCAACAGCATCCGAGCAACAAGACTTTACTGCAACAGCCACCGAGCAACAAGACTTTACTGCGAGAGCCACCGAGCGACCAGGCTTTACTGCAACAGCCATTGAGCAACCAGGCTTTACTGCAACAGCCATTGAGCAACCAGGCTTTACTGCAACAGCCATTGAGCAACCAGGCTTTAGTGCAACAGCCACCGAGCAACCAGGCTTTACTGCAACAGCAACCGAGCGACCTGGCTTTACTGCAACAGCAACCGAGCGCCCTGGCTTTACTGCAACAGCCACCGAGCAACCAGGCTTTGCTGCCAGAGCCACCAGGCTTTACTGCAACAGCCACCGAGCAACCTGGCCTTGTAGCAAACACAAGAAACAGGATGGGTGATGGCGGGGACTCCCAACAGTGCAGTTCCTCATGACAGGTAAACCCAAATCTGAAGAAATAAGTTATTATTACCAACTGACCTCATGACTAGTTTATCTAGTAAGGTCGGTTGCAAAGTTTTTAGACAACAGGTGGTCACGGGACTTCAGAACGGTTATGTTCACATGCCCAACTTAACAGCTGGAGGCAAAGGACACTACACAACTTCTTAAAATGAATGCTTTATGATAGTCGACATCGTACAATGGACACTGCTTTTAGCAGAGATTTCTTATGAATATGGAAAGGGTTTGTCGCTTTTATCTAATACACATCATGAGAATACTTCTGTATAGATATGTGGCACCTTAATTAGTTCATGTTGAATATGCACTTGAAACACTTTTTCATTATCACATGGATGAATATTTACATGAAAAAAGTCTTGGTTTACAGCTGAAGGAGAAAACGACAGTGCAAATATATAGATGAAGTTACCGCCCATCTGGAACATGGTGAGTGAGAATAAACTATTCCTTTTTAATGTATTACCTCTATTAGACGCCCGGGCGTATATTAATTTCTCCCAAGCCATGGATCCGGAGTCTGTTCTGTTTAATACTGGCACAGTAGCAACTCATTAACAGACTTAACGAAGTCTAAAGTCATACAAATTATCAAATGATGGACCTGGCCTGTGAGGTGAGGTGAAATTGGGTTTTACGTCGCGTCCAAGATTATTGCACTTATATAGCGACGTGCATGCACGTGTATGTGTGTGTGTGGCTGCTTGTACTAGTCCGGACTGATGCCGATTTATAGTGCTAGCTCACTGAGATACCATGCCGCAGTTTAACATGAATACCCCACTCAGACACAGTATACTGACTCCGAGCCGACCAGTCCTTGTTTTAGCCCCTTAATGTCGAGCGCCAGACAGGGTAACAACAAGTACCATCTTTTAACGTCTTTTGGTATGACGCGGCCGGGGATCAAACCCCGGACCTTCCGCTCTCCGGGCGGACGCTCTACCACAAGACCACGGAGGCGGCCGGACCTGGCCTGTATGGTGTCTGATGGGATCATCACTCACAGATGTGTTTAGTCATAGCATGCACTACAATCATCACTCACAGATGTGTTTAGTCATAGCATACACTACGATCATCACTCACAGATGTGTTTAGTCATAGCATGCACTACGATCATCACTCTCACAGATGTGTTTAGTCATAGCATGCACTACAATCATCACTCACAGATGTGTTTAGTCATAGCATACACTACGATCATCACTCACAGATGTGTTTAGTCATAGCATGCACTACGATCATCACTCTCACAGATGTGTTTAGTCATAGCATGCACTACGATCATCACTCTCACAGATTTTTTTAGTCATAGCATGCACTACGATCATCACTCACAGATGTGTTTAGTCATAGCATGCACTACGATCATCACTCACAGATGTGTTTAGTCATAGCATGCACTACGATCATCACTCTCAGATGTGTTTAGTCATAACATGCACTATGATCATCACTCTCACAGATAACATGTACTATGATCATCACTCTCACAGATGTGTTTAGTCATAGCATGCACTACGATCATCACTCTCACAGATTTTTTTAGTCATAGTATGCACTACGATCATCACTCTCACAGATGTGTTTAGTCATAACATGCACTATGATATCACTCTCACAGATAACATGTACTATGATCATCACTCTCACAGATGTGTTTAGTCATAGCATGCACAACGATCATCAAAAACCTATCAAAGCTCTGCAATGACATCTGTGATTTTTATGAATTTTTCCGAAATTTATTTTCAGCACTGTTGACCCTCGAAAGCTAAGTCGATCTGGAGGCAGAGAGGAAGATGACAGTTTCAAGTTCAGATGTGGTGGAGGCGTTATTGCAACATTACAAGGATGATCCCTCAATTCTACAATCACGACTCAATGTTTCTTTCACTGGTGAATCGGGAGATGATTTTGGCGGGTTGAGCAAAGATATGTTCACGGCATTTTGGACAGGATGTTTGAATCCTATTTCAATGGAGAGCCCTGTAAGGTTCCAAGCCTACCCTGGCACAGACTTAGGAAGGAGATGTGGAAGTATGAATCAGTCAGTTCAATCCTAACTCAAGTGGTGGCACTCACAACATGTCTGCCATCTATGATTGCGAGAAGTTCTCTCATAGCAATTGCCTTTGCATCAGAGATGGACAGACAATGCCTTTTAGAAGACTTTTTGCTCTTTTGTACCACAGCAGAGCAACATCTGCTTCAAAAGGCAATGGTGCGTTTCCAAAGTCTTGATGATACAGAAATGGACTCATTGATAACTTTCTTTAGTATCAAAGGCTACTTAGAAATGCCAAACTGTTGGGAAATCTCAGATCCAATCGCAGAGATTGCCAAGAAGCAGTTGTGTGATACCCCACGTCCTCTTTACGATGCCATGAGACGTGGTATTCAAAGTTCACACTTGTCATCATTCTGGGAGCAGATAACGATTGACGAAATTTCAGCTCTCCATTATCTCCCAGCATCCTACCCCTATGAAGGTGGTAGACACTATATTTTCGGAGGAGGAATTCGTCAGACCAGATGAGAAGGTTCTGAACTTCTTGAAACAGTTTGTGAGAGGCCTTGATCAGGAAGACCTCACTTTTCTGCATTTCGTTACAGGGTCAATCCACATGCCAATCGGGGGAATTAAGGTATCCTTCACAAAACTGGCTGGGGAATTAAGGAGACCCATTGTACACACATGCTCAAATCTCATAGAAATAAGTGTGCTGTATTCCTCTTTTCAGGAGTTCTGTCATGAAATGACGCGGTATTTGAGGAACGAATTAGCTTTCCAATTTTCAATTATGTAAGCTCAGCAGAAGGGTCGATATGATATATTCAGTTAAGGAAATGTGAATGTACAGGTTTCTTGGTCTGGAACCCTGTCATTAGCCAATCACGATCAGAACTGAGTACTCACCAAGTCATGGCACAATGCATTGTCTATTATGAATGTTTTAAATGAACATCTTTCTATATATAACACTTGAGTTGCATCTTCTTTTGTAAGTTTATTGTTCAGGATACAGAAAACATTAAGTAAATCCGCTTTCTTTTGATGTGAATTTGTTTGTTATGAATATTTCTACATGTGGGGTGGACGTATACAAGTTGTTTTTTTATATCAAAGAAATTGTAACTGTACATATTATTAAAAAAAAAAAATTGCAAGTGATCCCGTGGCATTTCCTTGGCATTGTTTGCGTTTATGTTTCCTTACACAGAAATATACTTTACGCCCCGCCCGTCATAGACTTGTGTTCACTGGTTGACTGATAACAGGATGTTCGGGGCTTGAGTTGCAGTATTACACCGAATGATGTCACTCATTTCAACTTGTTGTCTTCAGCCTTTGTGATAATGAATAATAAAGCAGCCTGTGAAGTTATGATTGTTGACGTCACTCAAATTGTTGTCTCGGATTGATGATTGACAGCTTATCGACATCTTTGAATTATAGGTATTACGTAGTCACCATCTCCCATTCATCTACTAATTACATTTGTCAATGGTCATATAATAGCACTGTTACTAAAATCTGTTCTTAATCGATTTGAGTTTGTTTTAATGATATTTATTGTTTGTACAATGTACTGTTCTTATAATAAGACATAATTTTAAAGTTTCAATTACAAGGTTCAAGGAGGAATGTTGTGGTGGTTTGAATAAAATTAGAATACGAAAAGTGAAAAAAAGTTTCTCAAAGACCATGATAATTGAGTGATTGAGTATAGTTTTACTCCGCTTTTAATAGTAATATCATGGCAGGGGACACCAGAAATGGGCTTCACACATCGTACACATGTCGGGAATCAAACGCAGGACTTCGGTGTGTAGTATGAGATATACCGTCCGGGGATCGTAAAAACTAACAGGTTCCCATAAAAGTCCCAATTAGTATCCGCGGATACTTCCTATAGTAGCTCCACAGAGTGTTTGCGTACATACTCAGACATTTTTCAAACATTCTGTGGAGTAAATTCGTAGCTCAGCAGAAATTTTACAAAATTCCCATGGAGTTTCTGCGTAGGCTTCGTGGAAATTTTGCAAAATAAGGTAAAAGGCTTTTGCCATGTTGTGTATGTATTTATAAGAATTGACATCCGTATGGTTTTCCTTTTATGCTACGCAGATTTACAAAGTATTTACACTTGTTTTTACATTTATATCTCCATAAACACATAAAGTAATGGAGTCAATTCTTAAACAAAGTTTAAAATCATATCACACAATGAAGTTTTAACATATTTCACTTTGGTGATAGATTACCAGTGATCAATCGATGACAATTTTTTTTATCAATTGAAGACAACTAATAAATGTTGAGTAGATCGTTAAGTTCTCTCGCACAAACAATAAATTTATCTTTGTGTGAAAGTTGTCCGTATAAAGCGTCCTTCAGTCGACTGTTTTGTTCATCTGTCAAGGAAAGAGATGATGCTCCATGCTGGTTGTTTGTGATTCAATTGAAGATATCTGTAATTCCGTAATAAATGTGAAAACGGCTTGCTATACTGGATGTAGAAACCGGTCAGTGTGTTGGAAGACGGGACCATGTAATTAATAATAATAAACTAACAGACGAAGCCGAAGGTGGCCTTGTCTACGACTTTCTTTGCGAGTTTTTTTTATTATGATTGTTATTAGTTACATGGTCCTGTGGTTGGGATGACTGGGGATATCAAACTGTGTCTGAACATTTGCTCAACCATTTAAGCGCACCTGCTTATGTTCATATTATGAATTCGTTTTAAACAATAAATCAAATACCACTTTCTACCTGAAATATGCATTCATTAACACGTTTTATAAAACACCACAGAGTTGCAAACTGTCTTACCTGCAGTGTTTCTAAAGGAAAAGCGTCATGTTGTCAAAGAAGCCATGTTTTCACCGGAAGTGCATTACGAAATAATCTCGTCTAAATATTTCCCAACATCCCCATGCTTTCCTAATAATTAATTCATGTAGGCCATGAACTATCCGTTTCTGAAAAATTACCGATGTTTTTTAATATTATTCAAGCTCGGGATATTCCGACAATACCGGAAGTTTATAATAACCGGAAATGATACATCATTGAAAGAAAAATGGAAGACGAAGGAACACCGGTATCTGCTAAGTATCGCGGGACGTCCTTTCAAGGTAGTCTGCCTGCAAGCCCTTTGGGCGCAACACCCAGGCCTCCATTACGACAGAAGTATTCAAAATCACGTTATGCAAGTCGCCATGTGTCCGAGTATGATTTGAGTGAGTGGTAGAAACGAGCACTGCTGTCATTCTCTCAGTCTATCCTCTGCAAATGCATGAGTGCTTTTTGGCAGCTTCTGTGAATGAGCGATGTTAGTGATCAGTGTGTGCTAGCATGCGTATGTTGTGATAATAATTCGTTGTGTTAAATGTAAATAATAATTCCATGTGATACAGCTACTAACGAGACAGTGGTGAGTAGCGGAACATAGGAATACTGGTGCAACATGTGCCCCCAGAAACAAACCTAATAGGCCTAATGGTGGGGAAACACAGGACACTCACTGTCGTTATGAGGCCTGGAAGCATAAACAGATTTCAAGGCATACAGAAATTTCAATGCTACACTCAGATAACTGGGTATTAAACTTTGTGGGGGGGGGGGGGGAAGGGTAGGGTCGGGTAGCCTAGTGGTTAAAGCGGTCGCTCGTCATGCCTAAGACCCGGGTTAGATTCCCGACATGGGTACATTTAGTGAAGCCCATTTCTGGTGTCCCCTGCAGTGATATTGCTGGAATATTGCTAAAACTGGCGTAAAACCATACTCACTCACTCACTTTTTCAAAGGGATATAATTCTTTATTTGCACCTTTGCCATGAGGTTTCAGTGATGCCTTCAAATTACAATGTATGTTATTATCACTCAAATCACCATACACCTGTTAATCACATGGCAAGGAAGTTGACCCATGGTGTATTTTCAAACAGGCGGCAATATTTCAAGTGCAACTTTTAGACACATTGTGTTAAATGCAGTAAACTTTAAAAGTGCAGAAATGGAAAGTGTTCTTCACTTATGTTATTTCTTGCATCAAAAGTAATGATTTGATTGGTTTCTCTGGATCTTCTGATGTCTTATTGCAATGAATTGTAAACTAAATTTGTTGAAAACAAAACTTTGCTTTAGTTTTGGATATACAAGGTGTTACTAGGTGATAGTAAGCCTATGGCAAATCATAATAATACAAGGGTAATGTTTGAAACTCACAGTAATTTGAGTGCGACACTGAAATTTACGTACACACCGAAATCTGGTGTTGTGTCCAGACCTGTATAAAGATGGATACTAGACAATCTGTACCCACTGAAAATGGCTAACTAGTACCTAAAATTGCCATCAAATTCATACCTGTAAAGTGTCGTGGAACATTCATACTTTATTTGTCTGACTAGTGCACAAATTGGGTTGACCCCTGTATATAAATTTGGATGACAAAATTGACATGTACCCATCTTTTTTTTTAAGCAAGATGCCTGAAACATGATTGCTTTTACCATTTGGGATCGTAAAAATGACAAAAGTATATGTTCATGAACATTTATTCACAGCACTAAACATGCTAAATTCACATATTCTGGCATACACTTTCATAGAGACTTTAATAGCTTTTTTTTCATAGCACAATTTTCACACATTTTGCGCACTTTAATTTCACTAAGCCCCATACATTCATTATACATTTCAAACAATCATTATATATTTATAAACATTCATTGGTGATTGGTGAATTACTAGTTAACAAAATCAGTGTCTGACACAAGATGTAACATATGATTCTAGTCCTCTTCAAGTGGCCTGGTTATTAGAGACCAAAGCTTCAGATGCCTGTGATGTTGAACTTCGCATAAAGTTTCCATGTGTTCGGAAGGACTGGGGACGGATCTCCAAGGGGTAGGGATTGTCCAGTTCCCGTATAGACAAGCATTGCTGATAATAAATGATAAGATTATTGAATTTATCAAAGAGGGATCAGATGTTTTTTGTTAGAAAAGCTTTAAAAAATATAAACAGAACTGAACATTTTGAATTCAGCTGATTATATTCTGATGTTGTTTTGCATCATTTTCTTTGCATGGGTAAACACTCGAACAACTAAAGCATGCCTATTGCCAATGACAATGTGACTGTATATATATACATTTGTGATCAATGCACTTAACATGCTTAATTGATATGTGGTGCTAGTACTATTAAACACCAGCATGTTATGGATGGAAATTGATAACCAGATTAAGCTCTTTTTCATATGTATAGCCTGTTTGTTGTAAGTATTTAAAACATTTTAACTAAAAAGTAACAGGAATAACTGGCATCATAACACATTACCATTTGTTACCAGTTGATTACCATAATTGGGCTTTTAATTGCCAGGTGATAAAATGAAAGTTCATTTGAGTTTTTCACAGTAATCTCTTTAATGTGTAGTTAGTTGACAATCTTCTAAACTCTGTTACTCTGATGCAGTACATCTCTGCATGAAGATCTGACATCTCTAAAGGAGGTCGCAGCAAGGGAACTTCTGACCAGCATGATCAGAATCAAGGCTTCTAACTTCTCAGTACAGATGAACAAAGCATTTAGACAGCATATCTAATTTCTGTATCTCATAAACAAAGTTAATGAGCCCATGCTGAATGTAAATGATTAAAGCCTTGCCCTCATATTATTGTGGATATTTTATACACTCTGTTGTTGCTGAGCATCATGGCAAAACGAGAATACCACCAAACAAATATTTGTTTTGTGTGTGGATTTTTCATTTATTAAAATTGACATTTTTGTAATCAGCGTAGTAAACAATTGTTTTTAGAAAGCTGACATCTGATTAGCTCGAGAACCTGTGCATCCTTCATGTTGATTGTATGGTAAAAGTTTACTCAGGGTTTATCTGCCACAACCTTCTACTCCGATGTTGTCAGATCATCACACAGGGAGGTATCGTGTCATGTAAAAGATCTTTTTTAATGAGATTGAGCTGGTAGGGTGAAATGTCAGTTAAGAAACCTGCTGCAACTGTTAGTCCTTTGACGAAAGTGTTGCTTCAATAGAAAAGTCACATGTTCACTAGTGATGTATTGTGGAGGTTCACCTTAATTGTTTTATTTAAATTTATTAATTGGTGAGGTATTTGTGGTTGAAATAAGAAAAGACTTGTGTAGATCTGTAAACCAAGTAATACATAGGATAAGTGCTGGCAGGGTCGTTGACCCCTCATGAACACAAAAGTTACATTTCCTAGAAAGATAAGTAATATAAGTGCCATTTCACCAATGTGCCTATGTTTCCGATACCTTATCCATCAGTATTAACATCATCTGAATGATCATGATAATATAAATGTCTCAAAGTAATTACCATGATTAACACATCATTAGCTTTAACCCATACCCTGAAATATTGATGGAGTATGAGTTTGTGCAAACAACCGTCCACCCAACAGTAGTACCGGATGTGATATGCCGCTCATATTTCCAGTATCTCTCACTGAAAGCTACCTTACAGAAGTAACGTTGAATCAATTTTGTGTTACATCAGCCAAGTTCTGATGTAGTTCTCATTAACATGAAAAAGTTTTAATTGAAACAGGACGTGTAGGAATGGATAAAATGAAGGGCGATAGAAAAGTGAAAATAAGTATCATTACTTTATCTGCCCCAAATTTGATGCAATAGTTGTAAATATAATCAAGAAATACTACTTTGTAAACAGTGGGAACAGTGTTAAATATATAACATTCCTATTGCTTGTGTAGCTCGTGTCGGTCACAGAGAGGGTATAGCAGATACATGCTTCAGCATGGCTAGGCATGCTCCATATAGCATGTATAGATATTGGGTGTAGAAGCTACTGAATTATATCATGTATATTCTTGCTTACCTGGGTTGCTGACCGTTCTTGTACCAGGTGTGAAGGAATGTTCTGTCTGTCATGTGATGTGATTTCAATGTATGTTCTGCACCGTCTGCTTCTGCTTTCTAACTGTTGTTTTGTGGTATGTATGGGCGAGTGAGTGTGGATCAAGCATCAATCATATTCCCATATCCCATTGGTGACACTGACCCACTTCATTTTAACCCCTTCCTGTAGAGACTACTAGAGCCATAACAACATGTAGTCCTAACCCTTGTAACCATGGTAACCTGTGCCAAATGTATTCTTGATGACAATTTCAAAATTTCAACTTTGTCTCAAAATGTTGATAGAGATTTATCAGTATCCAACCTTGGTGATGGTAAGGTCACCATTCCTCAGTTGTTTTTGTGCTGATATTATCACTGGGAATATACCAACTGAAAACCCCTGTGCCAAGTTCCATGTCTCACATGGAAGAAAAGATAACAAGAAGGTTCTATTGCCTGAATCGACCACCTTGGTTTGTAGGCACCTTATCCATCACTTCAGGCTTCCTCCTACATCAAATTAACACATTGTGATGTGAATGAAATACTTTCCATAGCAGCATTAAACATCACTCACTCACTCACTCACTCACTCACTCCGCATTTAGACATTATAAACATTGAAAAGTCCCTACAAATATGAGACATACCACATCTTGATTCAGTTGAAATAATGCAAACAATTACTTGAAAAGCTTTGAGGAATTATGATAAAACTTCTCTGCAGAGACAGTTCGGCAGGTGGAAGAAAATTTCATGCAGCCCTACAGAAAAGCTACCAGCCGCGGGCAGGCAGTTATTTCGGACATTGATCTGATGTCAATTTCTGAGTGAGATTAAAACTTATTATGAGGTAGAAAAATAAGGAAGGACATGCTTCATTTGTACACGGAAGAATAGCAGTCACAAACAGTGCACGAGCTAGGGTATTCATGACGGAGCAGAGCAAGACAGTATGTTTGATTAATACTGATGAGAATAGCACATACAGCAGCACTGACTGCTCCACCCCCTTCAGGAGATTGTCCCTGCTCTGTGTACATTGACCTGTTTCACATGCACACTGCCAGGGCGGGAGGTAAACATGTTGTGTGCTCACACTCGATCAACAAACTCCCAGTGGCCACTTCCAGGTTATCACAAAGCAAGGGGCAAGTCACCATGTTGAACTTTGTCAGCATTATCAACATTACAATTAGTCGTTAGTAATTTAGGAACACATATAAATATGGCCAACTGTGAGACGCAATGATTATTAACCATTTTTTATCTGCTGTTAATGGCTTATGTTATCTGACCAAGAACTTGAACAAGTAACA